AAGACAATGGGTTTTTTGGCAAGATATGCTGTAAAAGCTGGAAAAAAAGAGAAAAAATATTGTCGATAAAAAGGAGTGAAGGAGATAATATTGAGACCACAAAAATATCGGTTTGCAAAACTATGTTCTTGAGAACTCTTTCTATTAGTTTTGATTTTGCTTATACAGCTTTAGAAAAGTCCGATAAAGGTAATGGATTTATTAAATCAGATCAGCGTGGTCTTTGGATGAACATATAATCCATCCGATGACGTTCACAGTGTTATAGATCACGTTGAAGCATTTTCTCCTGTAGAGTCATATTACACTCGCCAAAAATCAAGTAAAAATTATCTAGAAGGCTTTTTATCCTTCCCAAAACTGTTCATGAATCGAATGGTTTATGGACTACCGTGAGACAATATCGAGATATCTATATATAGTTTTTATAAACCCAAAAAGATTTTTGTGAACAATGTCACATTTATGATAATAACAAGCAAGTTCTACAGACAGATAAAGAAAAGCATGAAGAGCATTTAAAAAAAAAGAGAAAGCTAGAAAAATTAAAACAAAAGATAAAAAATCAGCGTTACAAAATAATGAAATCCTTACATCAGCATCTGATCTTCAAAAGTGTCTTAATGTATGTACCTCACGAGAGCGTGAGTACTTTTTATTATAAACGGAAACATTATTTGTATAATTTCACGATATTCATTCTGGGATCTCGCCAAGGTGATTGCTTTTGATGGTATCAACAGACAGCAAAGAGAGGTGCAATTGAAATTTCCAACTATCATTTTAAGTTTATAGAAGATACGGGTGGTGAAGGTGTCAATGATTACCGGTTTTAGTCAGACAACTGTGGAGGCCAACATAGAAATAGGATTTATTTCTTAATGTATATGTTAGGTAGTTTAAAGTGTAGTATAGCTATTAGCCATCGCTTTCTAATAGTGGGTCATTCACAAAGTGAAGGCGACAGTATGCACGCTTTAATTGAAAGACGGACAAAGATAAAAAGCTTTATATGCCTGATCAATGATATACAGCTTTTAGATACATACACAGTTATTGAAGTGTCTCAGGATTTAATAAAGGACTTCAAATCAAAGTCAAAACTTATAAACAACTGGACAACTACTAATGATGGATCTATCTATCTATCTAAATAACTCTAATGGAGCAGAAGATAGTGATTCAGACTGATTTTTGATTCGTTCAACCTTTAATATTTTTATTTATTTTGTTTAACCTTATAGAAATTTTTTGAGCGTTAGAATTTCCTAGATTTTTAGATATTTATATTATTAATATCTATTATTTTTATTAATATTGTTTAACGTAAGTTACCATTTTTAGTTTCTATTATTTTTATTGATGTTTGTTACTTTTCAAGAAACTTTCATGATACAAAAACGGGTCGGATACAAAAACTACAAAAACGGGTCCTACTTAGTATAAACGAAAAATACATTGTGATTCTTTAAATGTGTTGTTTTGTTAAATGAGACTACTTCTTCCTAACCTTTATTAATTTCGTGAGGTATTCGAAATACCTAAAATGAGTAATTAAAAAGCCTCGATTAATTATATTAGTCCAGTATACGTTGAGGTTTTAACTACTAACATAGGTAAGTACTTTCCTAGTATAATGAGTCAAGTGATGTAATTTCAACATTTTATTATTAAGTGGGACAAAAAAAATCGAAAATAACCAAAAGTAGTATGATATTAATAAAATGATTATCATATTTCGTAATATTTTCGAGTAAGTCATGGATTTTCATGTACAACGTACATGAATATAACTGGTAGTTAAACCATTTTACTATTCAGGCCCGCCCGTGTATAATGAGTCATGTACATAAAATATCATTTAAAAACAAAATTCAGCAAAATCATGTTATACCAAAGGAAGAGCTTTCAATCTTTATTAAAAAAACATTTAATTTATTCCGAATTAGTTTGATTTCATTAAAATATAAACAATTTGCCTTAAAACGGCTCTCCTATAAAATTACTAAAATGTCAGTTGACTCAGTATACTTAGGAGGTATCGATTTGAAACATTACTTCGTAAGGAAAGAGAACAGGAGCTAAGGGTACAATTCAGAGACAAGACTTTCGCGAACCTTCACTCCCGTATGCTACTTATAGAGGCATACTCATCATTCCCAGATTCTCCAGGGACCTCAGGAAATACTTAATGAGACGTGACCAGCTACCGTTATTACAATTGTATGTGAATTAATTCACGCTTGGTGACTGTGTTATTCATACAATTGGATAGGTCAGTCTTCTTGGGAAGTAACTGTCTGGGCCCTAGGTATTAGGATTGATAGCACCAAGATAAAAAAAATCAGTGGCGCTCCAACCTCTTTAGGTCTGGGCCTCAGATTTCTGAATCTGTTTCATGATCATTTTTCAATCTAATAGGCAAGTAGGTGATCAGTCTCCTGACACACGCCGTCAACCAGCACCAGGATAAACAAAATTTAATTCTGAGTTTGATATAGTATGGCACTAAGAAAATAACTGATTTCTGACTATTGAAAAATTTAGCTATCGTGATTAAATGCATGTATATTTGTGCTAATACTATACTCTAAAAAAAGCATTTTCTTTTTAATACATTTTATTGAGAGATAGTGAGAACTAAGATATATTTATTTAGTTTAGATAAAGTTGATGAGCATTTATTGGAAAATTAAGAAAACGGTGAACTAATCTCGGTCACTCGTATCCATTCATCTGAATGTAATATGTAGATTCGTCCTGACAGGTAATATATCAATATACATAATATTATGTTCTTTTACAATACCATTTATGTTAAAAACTTAGTTTCTGATTCTCGCAAACCCATGATTACAAATTCTAAATTTAAAAACGCTTAAAGGAACACATATGTTAGGTGACCTCTCAAGAATATTAAAATATACGAGTAAGAAGATTTGCTTGTGTGTCTACTTATGTATGTGTGACGTGACAAAGCCTTTTGTACTTTCAAAATGGTGTTTAATTTCTCCAAATTTTTCCACTTAGCATTGCCTTGGCAACGCCAACGTATTATAGCGTGTCTTGGGTCACGTTCAACGCTAACCTTCACTGTGATCATAACATGAAATATATTTGTATTGCATAATTCGCGCCCACAGACGTCCTACGCATGTTACATTCAATACCTTTTAAGGAAGCTAATTTTGCTGTGGAAAAATTTATAATTTTTGGCACACCATAATAATTGACCAAAGTTCATTGAACGCTTTAATATTTGAGTATGTGATTAGTGCGTTTACTTAAGCATACACAAGTGTACCTTTCTGTCTTTCACGATGCAAATGTTCCCTGGAGGAACAGCCATCCAGTTGGTCGGGTTGGGACGAAAGCCGAGTTGGGACTACTTTTGATTAATGTGATTGTGTTTATGTATTTCTTTTTTGTGTATTATATAATAAAATAAATATTTTTATTTTGTTTCTTTCTTATCAATTTGAACGACGTAGAAGCGAACTATTTATTCACAATGGATCCTAAGTCTGTGGAGATATAAGATTCAGAGTCTAAACTAAATTATTTATCCAACGTAGTTCAGTAGTTGATATATTCACTAGAAAACATCATACTTTAAATAAAAATTATAATTTTATTATTTCTATAAATACATTTATATTATCTATTGGTATCATAGAATTGTTAAGTTAATTATATAGGTTTGTGTTCCACGATAAGTTGTTTTATCTCTTACACTACTAATTAATTTCTAAAGTAGATAGATTAAAAATTATATAAAGTAGATGTGGTGAGTAACGCTAAAATTGGCACCATCATCTTCACCTTCTTCTTAAGTATACATAATACTAAAAACAAGCACTCCTGATAATTAATAAAAACAAAAGACGAAAAACAAAAACCGTTTTTATTTTCTGTTAATGCAGCATTCGAAATTTTGCAATCAAAGTACGAAAATAAAGAAAAAATGAAGCTCTCGAATTTGTGTCACTGGAGTATTTTTAGAATATCAACGCGATTCTCGATTCTTTGATAGACACGCTATTTTGTAGTCTGTTTTTAAATTGAGCATGACGTATTAATAATACACGAAATTTACTTATCAATAGTTACGATACTTTCTGAGGAATAAAAAGTATCGCGAAAGCCACACAAAAAACGAAGTCATTGCTCTCAAATGAAATAGTGTTCGGTATGTAATTCCGCTTTCCGATTTGAGGTGACCTCGAGCACGTGGTGCTCGGCCCATTCAGGCCACGTGGCAGCTGCATGATTCTCGCTAGTGTAGATCGTGTTGCCGGCTTTTGGTATAGAAGTGTGCCGGCTGCGAATCAAAACAAGCTGACTGATAAGAACTGCTTACGTCAACCATGCCACGAGGTTGAGTAACCAGTGTGATCGATACCTATCACTTAAGTTATTACTTTTGGGTTAGTTGTTAAGGGTAAACACATCGCAATTGCAATGACTAAGTTTGCATATGGATCATTTAAAAATCTGAACTCGAAATACAGTAATCCCCCTAACGCGTTTTCGTATAACGCGATTTCTGTCACGCGGAGATTTCTCAAGTTATACTTTTGGAGTGTGAAATTTAGATTGATTTGTCCATAATTAGTTTTGCGTACCTTTGCACCTGTGATTGTGTTGTTATAAAATTAAACTACATAACTTTATTAACGTGTTCCTAGTTTTTGAAATGTTCAAAAAACGGTTTTACGATAATACGTTATAAGGATACGTTATACAGTTATCCTGTAAAGAGACAAAGTTGGTTTTGCTCAGTTCTCTACTTAATAACTTACATGAAAAATATGTGTAGAATATGCTACATAAAGCAGAAATAATGTTATTGTAAAATGAAAACAAATTAAAATGTAGAGCAAGCAAAAATGTTTGTAAACAAGATTTTTATGCGTATCTAACAAAATGTTTCGTTTCAAATTACTAATATGAATCTAACAGTAATTTGTATTGCAGACACGTAGCTGACAAAAGGCAATATGACGGTGGAGAAGAGTAAAGGCTTCCCAAAAACGGTAAAACCAGCCACAAGGAAGGTTGCCCCGGATGGCGGATGGGCCTGGATGGTGTGTTTCGGTGTTAGTTTAGTTAATGTAAGTACTACCTAATATACCTTTATTAATTAGCCTTCAACTAGTATGAAAGATAACATCTGCTAATCTAATGCACTGGCATTAGACCCCACTAGGAAAATTATTAAAAATTATAAATTAGCATTTTTGAAGTTATAATTTGGCGCGTTAGGGAAAAATTATGAGAGTAATTATTTTCTATTGTTAGTGTCGTTTTTTTTACAAACGAAGAATAAGGCGAAAGATAAAAAAATTAGAAAAGATTTTTATCTTGTTATCTATTAGTTAAAATATTTTTACCAAAGAAAGTATAACTTCTAACGCGTGTACATAAGTACACACTCCTTTTTGTTGCTAAATCTAAGTTCTAAAAGAAAATGTTTAGATGCGTATTTATGTGACACGATGGTAAGGAAAAAACATTAAACATCTTTGAGTGACCTAGTAGATATTGGCTGATAGCGGATACACAGAATATTTTCCTTTGTATCTCAGACATTCGGTCACGTGAGTCAGAGTAATGATAAAGGGTCGTTCGCTTATCAATAACCTTTTGTTCGTCCACACAATAATTTGTTTGTGAAATTATGACGAAATGTAGTAGATACGAATGGCTTACGAAGCATGCCATTCTTAAAATTTGAAAATGTGTTGATTTAGTCATGACTTGTTATATCGAGATTTTCTACATTAAATAAGTATATTAGTTAGGTAGTTTTATATTATAAATTTGGTAATGGTGGATTTACCCCTATTCGTACACCTACTTTAAAAACGTATGTAATTTTCATTTGTTGAGTAAAATCAAGTAAAAATTTACGTTGAAACACGTATTTGTATGACCTTGGAGGCTTCTATTGAGTTTTTTCTACATCCATCCAAGGAAGTACTTAACGTTTTAATTTAAACAGTAATGCGTGTACAATAAACGTTTATGATAGATACTTAGCTGGTCACATGCATCATGACACAATCGCATTCTAACCAAAGTGCATTCGATGATTATCTTTTGACGTTTTGATATGATGATTGCGAAATGGTTTTATTTCATGATGCGGACTTTTTGTTATTACATACCCTGAATATTATTGCTTGTGAGACGGATATATTTAGTTGCACACTAGCTGAATTCACAAGAATTGCTTTATTTATAATCTATAATATAAAAATGAATCGCAAAATGTGTTGGTAAGCGCATAACTCAACAACGCCTGGACCAATTTGGCCAATTCTTTTTTTATAATATTCCTTGAAGTACGAGGATGGTTCTTACGGAGAGAAAAATTAAAAAAAATGAGTGGAAAAAGTCTAAAAACAACACTTTTCTCTATCCCATACTAAATATTCGTAATAATACTTAAAAGTCAATTTGAACTTTAATACCATATCATAAAGTTCAAGTGTTAGTGGAGGGGTTCCGGGAAGGTAAATTTTTATTTTTTGACATAATGTATTTGTTGTCTTATCAACTTTCTTTTTTTTTTATCTACGGTATCGGCGGTACGATGTTCGCCAGGCTAGCTAGTTTGTTATAAAAATAGTTTTTGTTTTGTTTAAATATGATGTTCTTATATATATAACGATCTTTAATTCCAACAACATAAATTTTCTTAACGTACAAAGTAATAATAATAAGAATTAAAAATTAATAAATAGAAAATTAAATGAAATTTAAAAACTTTGGTCCCTGTGGCAGTGTACCTTTAACGTCGGTATTGCGATATTTATTCGTCGTGTGAGGAAAGCATCAGCTCAGGGTCACCGGTACTATCTTCCAGACGCCAATTCAAATCTTTAATTAGCGCATGTGCACTTAAAGTCCTTTATGTTCTTAATTTCTTTTTTATATTAATAAGTTTTCTATTGTATTCGCATAAAAAAATAAACAAATATCGAAAATTAAACATCATTGTTATCTATCAATTTTCTTTTTTAAGATGATTATTTCTATTACGTCAGCAAACAATTTTAAGTTAGGCACAAGTCTGAATCAATTGACAGGCTTGTGTTAAAAATGCAAATGACGAAGTCATAATAAATAATCAAGCGTTTAAATAATATTTCGATTTGAAATTGGTATTAAACCTAAGACACGCCTATTCCCATTCAATATCATAATAATAGTAATCTATTTAACCTTTATTAAATAATTTCTATTTTATCCCTTTCAAAGTTGGCTATATACCCAATCATTTCTCCTTATCAATCTCGGGTCATAGCGAGAATATATTGTAAGCAATCAGGTTTATATACCGTCTACGAATATGACCTTGAACTTATAATTTCATTTAAAGTCAAGAGCAAAGTTTAGAAAAACAAATATTTTATTGGACATGGTGACGCGATTTTTTTTGTATTCGAGATGGAAATGTATTTGCGGGAAGTAGCAGGGGTATGTGGGACTCAACCCTCACCAGAATCTGCTATTTAGACACTGGGTTTTAAACCAGTGCAGGGGGCTTTAGGGGTACCCACTGAAACCACCTCGGGTAGTTCCTACGACACTTTATTTATTTAATTTATTTATTGTTTACACAATCTGAAATAGAAAAGAAGTTGGTGTGGTGGAAACACAAACTGGTATTAGTTTTTCTGTCCACCAGAACGTCGAACAGAGCCTCTAGGGTTGTTCTCGCATTCTATTATGAATTACTATAAAGCATTTTAACATAAATTTTCTTATCTTGACATAGAATAAAAGTTAGTATTTATTGTATTGTAATTGTTTCCATGGTTCCATATCCAGAAGAATGGTAACCATGTCACCAAATACTTTGGCCTACGGTTTAAAGAGTTTTATAATACATAATTTAATTTAATGATACTAAGATGCATTACTATATTACTAATACTATACATAATAAAAAATATATCAATTTTATTTTCAGTTTTCCACCCGGTCGCTGGAGCCGTCTTTCGGTCTACTATTCAAAGACCTTTTAGACGACCTAGGCGTCCATACAACCGGGGCATCTGTGATCGCCAGTACTTTAGACTCAGTCGTCAATTTCTCGGGTTTCTTCGTGGGTCCAGTGATAAAAACATTTTCATATAGAAAAGTCTGTTTTGTCGGCTCAACAATATGTGCTCTGGGACTATTGTTCACTGCGCCGGCGAATAGTATAGCACATATATTAGCTACATACAGCATAATGGGAGGTGAGTACGTAGAATAGGTGTTTAAACAATAGTCGTATTGCAAGTGATGTTTACAATGTGAGTATATTTTACAACTGCATAAATAATAGCGCAGAAATATTTCGAATTGTCAATAGTCACTGGGGTTTACGCCTTCTTTTGTTTCTATGACTAAAAATAATATGATTGTGTGAGTGACAGTCTAGTGGTATAGGTATGTTAACTAAAGCTGGCGGCTTCAACACATTTACACTTTGTGCTTGTGTAGTGTCTGTGAATAAGCGCGAGACGTGATGTCAAACTGAAATACAATCATAAATACATCATGAATAGACTGTCCGTCGTGTATAGTGGACTAAAATGTATAGCATTGCAAAAAAATCATATTTTGAAACATACTGTATGTGAAATTGCATTAGTGTGAGTACTGTGAACCCGCCAGCTTTCAATAACCGACCTATACGACGCGACTGTCGATCCTAAAGTCTTGATTGAATGGATCTTTGTAATTATTAATAATTGCAATTAGTGCGGAGGAAATCATAATAATTGGAACACGGCGTGACAGGCGCATAAAGTTTCTAAGGCCTATAAAGAAAAGTGTTTTAAAACCAAGTGTCTAGCCTATCATAATATAGATAAATTAACTGGCTTGTATTTAAATATATTTTTTATTGACATTTGTTAATATATTCATATGACATCATAATCCAATGGCTATACAATATGGATCTTAGATCTATTCAGCCTTCTGTGCCTAACATATTAATTAAGGCTTATTTATTTTATTTTATTAAAACTTCATTACATTACAAATAAAAAAAATTGCTTTAATTCTTAGTATAAAAGTACCTACTATCATTTATGTGGTAGAATAAAATATTTATTTATTGCGCTATCGTACACAAACATGACAATTTATATTACATTAAATACGCCGCGCCAGCGGTCTACTCTCCATCCGTGTTACGAAACCTACACAAAATAATTAAAATTAGTATTAAATAATTCAATTAGGAAAATTCACTATTTTTTAAGTTGCCATTTTTATTAAGTAACTATATAGCACCAAGGTTCATAATCTTTTAAAAACATCCGTCTTACGAATTTGTCCTGACGCGAGTTTAACATTTTTTAACCATTCCAAAAAAAGTGTACAACGCCGCTAAAAAAGTTTTCACTTCAAACATCATCAAAAAATCCATTGGTGATTCGTGATTCGAACACATGACCTCTGGGTTGAGAGTAGCGCGCTTAAACTATTAGGCTAACTAATATAATATATATGATACCTGTATCTTATGTTCCATAATAAACATATTTTATTTTTATATTTTATTTTTTATATAAAATGCTCTCACATATAGCATATATACTAACAATCAATAAATACACAATATATTGTTCTTTATAAATGATTTGCAACGCTCCGTCATATTACAAGGAAAAATAATATTCATACAAATGCAAATTTCTTTTGAGGAGAATGAATTGTTTTGTTCATATAACAATGGTGTAATATAACTTATCTTTATAAAAGGAAAGTGTATTTATATACGCTTCAATATTCGCTATATACTGTGCAAATCGATCGTAGAGTCAATGGTAAGGGTAATAGAAATACATTTTTGACGTACGAGAGACAGACAGCGCTATCTCGATAATCTTACCCTACTAGGTCCAATAAATGAACTATCCAATACAAATTATCAATTCGAACCAGTACTTTCTGGTTCATCATTTCAGCTTTGTTCGTTGTATAGATTTATTCCAACGGAACGAGAATTTTTATAGTTTTGATTCATTTAAATAAACCAAGGTAACACTAAACTAGATATTAAGTTAACTTAAGCCAACATATAAAACTACGTACTCAAAAATCAGGTTCACAATATAGAGAGTGAATCAGAATTTGCATATTTGAGGCCATCTTTTTACCATACCTTTATAAAACTCCGTGTATACTGATACCTACACTTGCTACGCATCGAGCACTAATAGTGAAATTTTATATTTAGAATATTATTGTGTATAACTAAATAAAAAAGGACCAGTGGAGCTACAACGTTTTAGGTTTGGGCTTCAGAGTTCTGTGTCTGTTTCGCGATCATTTGTTTTTCTAGCAAGTAGGAGTTCAGCATTCTGTGCCTTGACACGTCTTGTAGGTGTGAGGCATGCCGGTTTTCTCACGATGTTTTCCGAGCGAGTGTTTAATCGCTCATAGAAAGTCCATTGGTCTACAGCCGGGATCAAAGTCACTGCTCAAAACAATCAAATGCTATTAGTAAGGCTCAAATAATTGTGCATTCATTTATCACTAATCCACTCCTAATGATCGGGTTGTAAAAATTTTGACAAAAAAATAATGATTTATGTAATGACGTGTTCAGTTAAATAGTGTTTATGTTAACGTAAAATTGTAAACACCGTTAGATTGTAATCTGTCTCGCGAGATTATAAACTGTCGAAAGATTGTGAACCTCAGCGCGCGAGGTGCGATCCGTTTCACAATTTGATGGTTTCACTTCGATAGATTACAATCAACCGAATAGTAGTAATACGTTAAATTGTAAGCAGTTCGTTGAGGTTCACAATCTTTCGACAGTTTACAATCTCGCGAGATAGATTACAATCTAACGGTGTTTACAATTTTACGGTGACATTTACGAACATTCTTAAATAGTCTAAACACTTCACAGAATAATGCCATAATCATAAATAAAATAATACATTTATATATGCATGAGAATTCAATTATTAGATTGAAATTGTATGTAATTGACGAGTGACTAATAAATTGAAAAACGGGCGTCCATTGAACTTGTGTTGTTGAAGTTTTGTTATTCTAAGTTATATGAGAACTGTGGAATCAATCCCGACGATCTTCCCTGGGAGATACGACCTCCAATTGTTTAATAAAAAGCATAATCCCTCAAAGGCCAACGCACCCCCTAAAATGGGTGTCAATGGGCTGCGATTAGGTGCTGATTCCCTTTTTGCACCTCAATATCCTATAAAAAAATATGTAACTGAACTTAACCCGATTCGGAGTCGAGATTTAGCGTTAAGTGTCATACACGTATTGCATTTTGACATCCAGGAGTTCGTTTGTGACGAAAACTTATGACGTCACAAACGAATGAAAATAGGAAAAATATAACTTGGTCTATTTTTAAAGGTTACAGTAAATTCCACTGAAATCTCACTTCAAAATTTCCTAAAACCCTCAATTCATACTTGCCGATTGCTTGTAGACCGTTCTGTAAAATTCGTTTGGTAAAAAAAGAGTATTTTTCTCATTGTATATAGGTGTTTAGTGACTGGACAATTAGAACAATTTGTTTAACTGATGATGAAGCTACGTCTAAAGCCTTTTGATCGCAAAGTTTTTTATTATTAAAAGGAATTATGTGAAACGCATTTTAAGCTATGGTCCGCATAGAATTGGATTTTTTGTATAACCAATCTCAAAATGATTTGGTGATTCTATCTTATGTAATAATATATACTTATATGTGATAATAATGTATTTTGTTTATAATTTACACGAAGTTGCATTTGCTTATGATAATTACAAGTAACAAATATTTATTAAAACAAATATGATTTAAATAAATATCGATGGAAAAATTATTTAGTAGCTATTAGCATTTTATATAATTGTTTGTATAAGGATGAGACAATTTTATATAATTTAATGATTGTTTCTTAAAATCGTACCGGTTTATCGTAATCGTATACGATTTTCATGATATTCAATTGCAGTATGTTAAATTATCGTAATGACAACGGTCAGTGTTCGTTTATTGTATCAAAACCACGCTCCTCTGTGCTGGAGTATTCGTTTATGTTATTATTCGTATAAACTTCATATACAAGTGTCTCTGCTTACTCTTTCGGGAAAAGGCGTGAATGCATAAAAAATCTTTAGATGGACTCAAATTTTAAACACTTTTTAAACAAATTAGATAATATACACGTAGTTGTTAATTTTTAACTGATTGCTGAAAGTTGTTTTTATTCTGAGACTGCAGCGCTTTAAAACTTTGTTTTTTCACGTTCTTATATTATAAAGGTCATCTTTCGCCTGTAAAAATTTCAATACTTTTTATTTATTTTATTGTTGGCGATTTCCCGTACGTCTCTTAAAATTTCAATTTCCATCTACATAGCTAAAGTGTTTGACGTAATAGAATGACCGAGTGACGCAGTACTGTCTACTCTATGCCCCAATGGGAGTTCAACCAAATTCGAGGAATTATTCTTAACACGAAGCTAGTTAGTTCATAAATATATTCAGATCTATCTATAATGATGTTCGTTCTGGGAATAATTATTCTTTGTTCGTACGGCTTCTGAATACATTAATCAGCGGGATTTTGTAAATTTCCATGACACATTGACACGGAATACGCAAATACGTTAGAATTTATTCCATAATATTATGACTAATAATTAATTTTAAGTTTTAGCATTAATTACAGTGGTACCTCGACAAGTTTTAATTCGTTCCGTAACCTTGCTTGTATCTCAAAGCAATTTTCCCCATTGAAATTAATTAATCCGTTCCAGGTCACAAAACACCACCTCAGTTGTATTTGTTAAGTGTTTTTGAATAGGAAAATTATTTCACGCTTTAATTCAATATCAACTTCTTCGGTTATAAAAATAATAAGTGTATTAATGTTTTTTTTACAAAAAGCAAAAAACGCGAATCCAGCTTATTAAAAATGCTTCGAAAACGAAGGAAACAAGCTGAGTTGATTTTTCGTATCTCAAATCTTGCTCTCATCTCAAAGCAAAATATCGCTTGCTCGGCGTTTCGAATTTCTATATACTCGTATATTGGGGCACTTGTATACCGATACTACTGTATGTTAATTAAATTATTATTTATTAAAGAAAATTGTTACGCTTGCATCAAGAACAATCACATTGCCTTCCAGTCAGCATGATCCGATTACCAGAATGAATGCGTAGATTTTTTGGAGTTTCTTTCCAACTCATAGTATAAATTGTTTTTTCTGAAGAAACAATTTAATAAAATATTTTTTTTACAAATTGTAATTTGTAGACCATTTTAAAGTTATACCTAGTATAATAATAAAACCTATTATTTTAATTATAATTGTAGTATTCAAAGGGTGGATATTCAGATATATTTCTCGTCATATAGTTTTAAATATAGAATTATGAAATTTTGGTCATAAGTACATTAGTATTGTAGCATTGTAGACAATTTATTAAATAAATTATGTGAAGAAACTGTTAAATAATAACATAATGTAATCTTTGTTACAGTACACGAACACAGGCTATTTTAATTTTTTATTATTATATATTATAATATTAGTATAATATTGTATATAGTTTCGCCTAAGAGACGGTTGACTGCGATACATAAAAATAACTTCAATATCAGATAACCTTTCGGGAAAATGAATATTAATTCAACTAGATCTGTGCGTAGGTCGTAGACAATGGCAGGAAAATTTGTTTTTGAATAAATTATTTGTGTAAATATTGTTTGTACTAGGAAATTGTAGACTTTTTATTTTCTATTCATGTTCCTATGCACGTTTTGTTGTTAACGATTCTGTACCATAATTGTTTTATCTTTTTAAATCAGGAATTAACCGTGTACCGCGTGCGAGTTTATTCTTAAAGGGAAAACAAATGACAATCAAATATGGCTGAGGAATGTCCTACAAAAATATTTTCTAAATAAAAATTAACAAATGAATGTCGATTTGAATTTGTGTCCCTCAAAATCCATCGTGAAGTGAAAAAATACACCAATATTTTCATTCAGCTTAGTTTAGTTTCGCAATAGTTGTTTAACACTCATTATATATATTAATAATAATAGCTAGTGATGCTACAACCTTTTTTAGGTGTGGGCTATAGATTTCGGTATCAGTTTCATGATCATTTGTCGTTACACGTCGTCGACATTTTGGGTCTAAGACAAGCCGGTTTCCTCACGATGTGAAGGTTTTCCTTCGCCTTTCTGAAATGCACACATAGAAAAGTCCATTGGTGCACAGCGGGCGAACCTACCACCTCAGGGATGATAGTAGTTGAACCTCATATGCCTACACTGCTTTGCACTCATGGTTTATAATAGGTGAAATTTTGGGAACGAAATTATACAAAATTTTCTAATACTTATCGATCACGTCTATAGCTACAAGCTTTACCTGTCCACATCGTATCTAACTTTCGTACTGATCTGAAATTATCGTGATTCATGTGAACTTTTTCTTTTTCATGTGTCCTTTTTGAAGTGAAACTTCTTTATCGAGGTTGGAAAAAAATTTAGTGTAACATTTTTTCGTTACGCGTCACATTTTTCGGTTACGCTCCATGTTGCTTTTTGAAGTCAAACTTCTTTTTCGGCGTTGGAATGAAACTTCTTTATCGACGTATGGGAGAAATTTTGTAGCAAATCGTCACGTTTTTCAATGATAGTAATAATTCTATTACAATTAATGAAATTCTATAATAATCTTCGTAGTAATAAGGTAAAATTAAATATTTGTATTCATGTCTATGATAATAAAAGCCTTTTGTTAAACTTTATCTAATTTAAGGAATTTCTGTAAAGTTGCATATAGTAGATCATTTTTCGATCATTTTTATGATCTATAAAGAAGTTTCACTTCTTACGTGTGTACACCTAGTACACGCACAATTTATTTATTACTGTCCTTTACACTGTTATAGGTTTTAATAATTGCTCGAAAGCGATAAGGCCGCCAGTTGCCCTCCTTTTTATCTTATTCTGTTAATTGTACTTTCTGTATACTTGCAACGAAGTGTTAATAATTAAATAAATATGCAGACCGCCTACTTGTAAATAACAACGATCCAAAGAAATAGACATACTGAGTTAAGATGAAGAAATATGTATTAGTATTTATTGAAGTGAAACTTCTTTAGGCGCATGAGAGCAAGGGAAAGAGCGATTGAGACCGATTGAGAGAGAGTGAGAAAGGGCAAATGTATCATGAAGCAAATAGCCATGGAGCGAGAGTGAGCAAGTGAGAAAGATCGAGAGAGAGTGAGATAGAGCGAACGACGCATCAGGCACAGTGCCATGGAGCGAGAGGTGTAGGGAGAAAGCTATAGTGAGGAAGATTGAGAGAGAGAGTAAGGGAGATCGAGAAAAAATACACGCTATTGGTTGATGTATTCGTTTAGTAGTTACATATTAGAACTTTAGATGGCAATTCTGTTTTGTGCAGTAAATGCAATTTTTTTATTATTTATATTATCATTAGAGCGTATACAGTGTGTAAACAGATATACAAATACATGGAGTGATCATCTATTGGGGCTTTTACCTAAGTAATAATTAATTTACAAAGAAGTTTCACTTCTGACATGTGTGGTGTGTACTTTGTACGCACGCACTTTTTTTGACGAATCTGTGAACTTTTTAGTTCATATTTATATCTTTTTTCAGGTTTCGGTGTTGGACTAGCTTCGTCGTCTTCCTTCGTGTCCTTGAACCACTACTTCTCCAAAAAGCGTGGTCAAGCCGTCGGCTTATCTATGGCTGGTACCGGATTTGGTTTGATGGTGATGCCTCAGCTAGTCAAGATTCTCTTAGGGGAGTACGGGTTCCGATGGACGGTGGTTATATTGGGAGCTCTGGCGTTCCACGCAGTACTTGGTTCAACGTTGCTTCAACCAGTGCAACGGCATCTAATTGATGAACCAGTGGATTGTGAAATGCAGCAAGTGAAGGTAAGGAGAGTACAGGACCTAAATATACTAAGATAATAACTAAATTTGGGTTACATTAATAATAATAATAAAAAATTAAAATAGCCTGTGTTCGAGTACTGTAATAAGGATGGCATTCAGTTAATGTTATTATATTTAACTAGCTGACCCGGCGAACTTCGTTCCTAGGTGGAACGAACAGTCTAATAATATCGTGTTAATTGTAGTTAAACTTAATTTAGAATTTCATTAAGGTAATTAATAAAACTTTTTTTGCAAACACAGAAATGTTTTATTGCGAAAGAAGAATGGCAGTTTTACACATTAGGCTTCTTCTCTCTAGCGCCAATATTGCGATACTGCATGTTGATATACAAAATTTTTTGATGAGGTAACACATGTCTTCGATCAAGATCAAAGCCTGGTTATGCATCTCCTCATTCACCTCAAGATCGGAATTGACTGACACGAATTCAATGTAAAATGATGCGTAGTTTTGTCAACAGATGGCACCACATGCTGTTTGCATTCTTAAAATTAATTAATTAACTTATTTACTGTTATTTGATAACTTTTCCGATATTTTATTACTTATTCTGCTATTCGGAGCGGAGAAGAATCCACCAAAAAAGAGATCACTAACATCGGTCCAGCCGATCTTGAGTTATAAGTGGTGTAACTAACACGACTTTGATTTATATATTTAGATATTATTACACGACCTCCGACGGAGTGAAGGCCTCCAAACTCTTCAGTCTTCCATTTGTCTCTCATCTTCGCTACTATTTTCCAATCTTTCCCCTTTATCTCTTTTATTTCATCTTCCGTGGTTTTTCGTAGGTTTTTACGTATGTTACATTAGTCTACACAATTAATTTGCGCTTGCGCATTTTCAATGGGTGATTATGACACTCTAACCATAAACAGCTATTGTTAAATTTCTTAGGATAACTAACAAAAGACGGTTTAGGCTTCGATCGCTTTTAAGGTCAAATTTACCAAAAGGTTTTAAATAAATTTCCCTATAGACCAGTGTTTCCCAACGTGGGGCCCACGCCCCATAAAAGCAATTTTATTGTTAAGGGGATATTCGAAAATTTATTAAATTTCAGTTTTTCATTATATGTTTTTATAATTTACTTACTGTGTCTTTAAAAATTTCCTAGTAATTTCTTCTTAAAACCCATAATTTAGTTTTCTTAAGTGAACAATTTATGTTTTTAATAAATAAACGTTGTATTGTATTATTAATTAAAATAATAAAATTAATAATAATGTATTCCAAACGGGTCCACTGCTACTATTTCCCGTATCTCAAGAGGCAAGCTGTAAAGACACTTCGAAAAAGGTTCTATTTTTGCGACCATATTCGGTGTTAATATTAGGTAGATGTATATGATTTAGTATGTTTCCAAGGCTTTGAGTGTGAACTGAAATATTAATAAATAAAAAAAATAATTCCAGGAAATGGAGCGCATAAACGAAAGCGACGAGGAAGATGACGATAAATTCGAAATTAATCCGTTGGTCAGTCATCCAATGCCCAAATTGACCACCCAAAGGTCCCACAACAACATGAACCATCCCTCAGTGAGAACAGTTGGTATGCCGAGGGCCAAAACATGTGATAAGCCCTTACAAGACTTCGAGAATTCCAAGGACCAAGGGTTGACAACAGCTGCCTCTTTGGCGGCGATGCCGATGGTGAAGTCGAGTGGGAGTATCAGCGAAGCAGCCAGGAAGAGGAAAGTGTCTGTGATATCGAATATATCAAATATGGATTTTACTGGGAGTTATTTTCAGCTGTATTTAGATGTAAGTACTAAAACTTATAGTTTATTATTCGCTTCTTAGAATAAAAGTTTTGCATTAAAAGGCCGGCAGCGCATTTTTGAGCCCTCCGGTAGTGTAAATGTCTAATGGCGGCGGTATCACTTATAATCAGGTGAGCCTCCTGCTCGTATGGGGGCATAAAAAATAGATTTCATTATTAATAATGTTATATACGAATTAAACATAATGAATATATAATAAGAGAGTCAGGTCGCGCTAAGTCTCGACTCTGAGACCCTCCAGAGTCGTCCATTATAATATGATCCCAAATCGTAGAGAATAATTATGAAATCGCCCATTAGCACGATTAGGTGATTACTATATTTATAAAAAAATTGTTAGGATAAGGTTCAAAAACAATTAGCACGGACTCTCGTTCGTTAAAATCCCATGTGTTTTTGTCTACCTTTTACTTGACGAACTTAGAGTACTAAAAATCTATATATACTATAATACTAGCTGACCCGGCAAACGTTTGTTTTGCCATGTATATTATTTCTAGGAAACATTTTTTTAGTTTAATAAAAATAAATCTATAATAAAAATAGGGGTTTGATCGTAGAGGGGTGAAAATTAAGGGTTGTTTTATTTTTGTATGCCGAATATATATGCATAAAAAAATAAAACAAAAAAAAAATCTAAAAAAATAAAAAATAAATTTTGGGGTGGACTTATTACTTAGAGGTTTGAAAGATATATAGTAGCCGATTCTCAGACTTACTGAATATGCATAAAAAATTCTTGAGAATCGATCGAGCCGTTTCGGAGGAGTATGGGAACGAACATTGTGACACGAGAATTTTATATATGAGATACTATCTGACCCTGCAAACATTGTTTTGCCATGTACCTATATTAAATATAGGAAAAAAAAATTTAGTTTAATAAAAATAACTATCTACTGTAATAAAAAGTAGGAGTTGATCTTAGAGGGGAAAATTAAGGGTTGTATGTTGAATCATTGAAAAAAATTAACATTTAGGGGGATGATAGATAAATGTTGTCCGATTCGCAGACCTAATGACCTTCGCCCGTGCATATCGGGCACACAAAGTTTCGCGAAAATCGGTCGAGCTATTTCGGAGGAGTTTAGTTGCAAATATTTACTTTTAAGCTTTTGCTACTACTTAGAGTACAGATGTAGAAAAAACTAATAATTTCAGACAGCAGACGAAGACGGGTTAGAAATGAAGTCAATAAAGAAGAGCGAACCTCAGGAAAAGAAGAAAGATGGTTTTATAAGAAAGTTTATTGCTATGATGGACTTGGATCTGCTAAAAGACTGGTCTTTTCTGAATCTTCTACTTGGACTTTCCCTGTTCTGGAGCGGGGAATTGCAGTTTAGGATGTTGACGCCATTCTTTATTAGGAGCTTAGGTATATATATATATATATATATATATATATATATATATATATATATCTTAGTAGATTAAATATTTTTTTCTCTTAAAAATAAATCAGTGGCACTATAACATCTTTAGGTCTAGGCCTCAGATTTCTGAATCTGTTTCATGATCATTTTTCAATATAATAGGCAAGTAGGTGATCAATCTTTAGTGCCTGACACACGTCGTCGACTTTTTGGGTCTAAGACATGTCGGTTTCCTCACGATGTTTTCCTTCACCGTTCGAGCGAATGTTAAATGCGCACATAGAAAGAGAATCCAATTGTGCACAGCCGGGGATCGAACCTACGACCTCAGGGATGAGAGTCGCACGCTGAAGCCACTAGGCCAACACAGCTTAAAACATAAAATATCAAATATTCGTTTCGCCCCATCATAAAAACTAAACCTTATTATGTTCTTGGAAAAAACTGTGTCTCTTTCATCACGACGTAAACACAATACCATAGAAAGGGCCGATAGACATCGTGAAAAATATCGTTTATTCATATCTAAAACAAAAGAACAGTTAGTGAAAAAAACGAGACCACACACCGTCACAAAAAACCGACACCCTGAAGTTAGCATAGTTAACATTTGAAAATAAAATTTAACTAAATAATGCGTTATTGTAAAACATTCTATCTTTTTTCTATTGTTAGTGTCGTTTTTTCTACAAACGTAGACTAATTACGTAACGTAGACGTATTTTTGAAAAGTTTTTTACCGTAAAATGTATAACTTCTAACGCGTGTACATAAATACTTGGTTACACATGGTTTTTTTTATAAAAATAATCTGTATTAATAAAAAATATAATTGAACAAACATTTCCAGGTTATAATATGAATGAGACAGCGTTTTGCCTGTCCATGACAGCCATCACGGATATCGGTGTTAGGCTGGTGTTGCCGCCCATCTTCGACAGAACCAACATATCCAAGAAGATGATCTTCTTCGTTTCATCGTTCTTTTTGGCTGCAACACGATCAGGTAAACTATTTATATACATTTATCTTGAAATCTTGAAGGAATAAAAAATAAATAATGCAAAGGGCTTATGGCTCCGACAGTTCTTTTCCTGGCAACACTAATAAAAGAAAATGGCGAAATTACGTGTAGAAAAGCAACAATGCGAAACTTGTAATAACAAAAATTACTTCAAAATGTAGCCGTTGTTTGAGGGAGCATTCAAGTATTACGTCACGCAATTTTTGGAGATTATTGCCCTCCCCTCCATTACGTTACGCCGTAACGTTTTTCTGTACCCAAGCATAGCAAAACGTTTCGTGACCACCTAGTGACTCTAAAAGTTACCATTATATGGTGTAAAGTACCGGAAAGTCGAATAAAAATTAAACATAACGCGTAATTCAATCCCCGCCCCGCATCGTAACGTTTTACAAAAGGACATCGTTACGTAATACTTGAATGTTCCCTGCGACGTTGTACTCGTTTTATTTAAATATTGTTAGTACTGAAAAAAATGCTTGTAATCTTCTTATTTTTTTTTATTTTTTTTATTGGACAATACACACCAATTGACCTAGTCCCATGCTAAGCTGGTGAAGCTTGTGTTATGGGTACTAGGCAACGGATATACTCGTACATACATATTATAGATAGATAGACATATAAATACATATTTAAACACCCAAGACCTAAGCACAACACCAAATGCTCATCACATCGATGTTTGTCTCAGCCGGGGATCGAACCCGGGACCCTTGGATTCGCAGTCAGGGGTACTAACCACTAGACCAATGAGTCGTCTTTGCCGCGGAGTTGTGAAAGTGTCCGTCTGGGTCTTTCTTTTGAAAATCGAAAAAGCTTTCAAATATAATTTGTGATATTATGATTTTTTTTCCCAAGACCAGTCAAATATCTCCACTTAATGTTAAATTATATAATTTTCAGTGTTAGCAGAGCAATCAGAATGGGTACCACTTATGATATGGCTCTCAATTTGTGGTTTCTTCCGGGGAATGTGTTTGAGCAACTTCACTCTAACCATATCTGAGTACTGCCCGCTGGAGAAGTTGCCCGCTGCTTTTGGTCTTCACATGGTCAGCAAGGGTGTACTGGTTGTACTTATTGGACCAGTGATTGGTTAGTATACTCTGGTTTAATTGCTTAAACATAAGATTGTAAAATGAATAAAATATAAACTAAATATAGTTTATTTCTATTATGAAATTAAATCTAAAATATTTTTTTTAACTAGACTTATCGGAAACAGACGAGAAATAAATATTTTTTATTTTTTATTAAAAAAACAATTGCCTGTATCATTTTATACAAGACTAGCTGTGCTCTGTGGTTCCCCATTAATTCAGTTGTAGCACGATATTCTATGGCCCAAGGTTTTTTTGGTAAATAGACATTTCAATGCAAATAAATATTTTTCTACCATATGTCTATAGTATGGCGAGGTTTTGTAGTATTGAAGGCTTCTATAAAACTGTAGCTTTGCTTTATTTTCAATAGTTTAACAGTGATATTGGAATTTTTAATTGTTTTTAAATCGTTCCAGTAGTTTCGAAGCCTATTCAATGCAAACAAATAATTAGATCTTTCCTCTTCATAATTTTGTTTTATATTTCAGGGTACGTGAGGGATTTCACAGGCAGTTTCGCGATTTGCATTCACGTACAAAATGCTCTTATAATGTCGTGCGTACTCGTATGGGGAATAGAGTACGCGTACAATTTAACCCGGCGACGTAAGATTGTACAAATATAGTACTTATACGGTACTTAGTATGACTGTATGGACGAATTTGTTTATAATCTATAGCTCGTTTTATTGTTGGCTATGGAATTACGAAAAACAGTTAAGTTTATTCGTTACTTAGAAATAATTTTTTATCTCTTTACTACCGTTGGCATATAGCTTTAGTTTATGAATTCTTTTTCAATGAAGTTCTGAACGCAGATAAGACATGAAATTCTCTCGTTCATTTTATAAGCAAGAACATTATTAAGTAAAATGACACAATTATTCCCTATAGGCTATTAAATGTAAGCTGTGTTTGTCAATTGTCATTGTCATATGACGTAATGATTGTGGCCAGTGAAATTTCTTCATAGAGTTGTATTACTCTTGTGTTATATAATATTTTTGACTATCAAGTAAATACCATAATTTTGCGGGACAAGAGTAATATTAGCCAAAGTTAATTGTCAATGTCAGTAAAAATCTTTCAAGTGATCTATCGAATATTTTTCTCTATGAAATAACACCACAATTTTGCGGGCCAAAAATTGTATTAGTCAATAAAACCCGCCATTTCTTACTTCAGTGATGTCGCGTAGATGATATACTCGTATGTACTTGTCAAAGTCCGATGACAATTTGAGGTGAAATACAAGTCTGTGGTCTCGTTTTATGTCTTGTCTACGTTCTGTGAAATTTAATGACGCACGAAGGCGGTGAATTTAAATTTTCTTACACAAAAGTACATACAATTAAAAATATGAATTCCGCCTTTATATTTTTTTAATAATAAAATTTATGTCATTGAATTTTTTTTTGGTCATCGGTTTTACTATAGCTCTCAATTTTCGGCACTACCATGACTTAATTTTTTTAATCGACGAAATATTTTTCTACTTGATTTTTATCGAGATTCTTAAGTTTATATGATTATTCATTTATTTGTGTTAAAAAAACATTTTTTTTGCGTTAGATATAAAAAAATTTTTCGGTAATTTTACCCACAATGCCTTTGTTGTTTACTTGTGTGGTTGGTATGCGATATGGTGTTTTAACACATTTTAAACCCAAGTATAATCGTTTTAGAGGACCTTTTTACTTCGTAGCTCTTTTATTGATTGTATTTTTAGATGACTGTTGTAGTTTTTGAAGTTTTACGTAGATTAAGATTCTATAGATAAATGCTCCTTTAGCTGTTGACTATATACGCGACGTAGTGCTTAAGTAATTTCATCTATTGCCTTATAAACACCTTTATGAGCTACTCAATCAGAGCTCGTCATTAACTTATAAACCTTATTTAGCGTTAGCGTCCGGTTTCTATATCTAAAACAGGGCTGTCTTATAAAAAATTGTAATATTATTGTTACCATGGTAACGATGTTGCCATGGTAACAATGACAATGCTACACTTGACAGCTGTTCTTTTCTGTAGAAAAGTGAATGATTCATAGCAATTACTACTCATGTTTTAGATGTAGAATTTGGAATTATACCTATGGGTCAGAGATTGAGAAATGGATATATATATTTTATATAAAAAAAATTATGACCTTTTTAGTATTGTCTTTTATTAACATAACTATAAAGAAAACACTTTTTTAACGGATTGAAATAATGTATTATTATAAACTTATAATTATTTTATATAATTTTAAAATTTTCCGACGTTTCGCGTGCTTTACAGCGTGCGAAGTCACGGTAAAATAATTATAAGTTTATAATAATACATAGCTTCAATTCGTTAAAAAAGTGTTTTCTTTAAATATGACCTTTTTATTTATACAAATCAGGCACAATATATCAGAAAAAGACTAGTATATATAATATATATATTGTATAAATAAGGGGATATCTAGATACCATGACAGCAAACCTGTGGTACGTTTAGTTCAAAGCTTTATATTATTTTCCGTGTCTTTTGAAATATATTTGATAACTTTTCTAAAATAATTCCAAACATATAAGTTTTCTTAAAAATCCAATACGTTTTTATACACGGGAGGCACTCAGCGCTAATTGTCGTCTCTGAATCGATGAGTAACTACTAATTTCACAAAGCTGGTCAAAGTTCTTCCTACAAGATTCTATAGAATGTGATTTGTACTAAGGGTTCTACAGGTAAAAAATTAACTTGACAATTGACACTGTTCCTAATAATGACATTTTTAATAATGAAGATCGTTGTTTGTTGTACGTAAGTTTTTAGAAAATGAAAATCAGAATGACTTCCTTTTATGATCCAGTTTTTTGCTTGTTATTTCAAATGTTCTCATATTGTTTCATGTGTGATACTTTAATTAATTGAAATATTGTTATAGTTCACATTTTTAAAATATATTTTATAGGTTGTGTTAATAATGTTAAGTATGATCCAGTGATATATTTCGTTCAACATACGATGCCTTAAGTAAATAATAAATACATTTACATGTTTCTATCTTCCAAAAAGCGTGAATAAAAATTTGCCAAATTTAACCTAAAAATTTAATGTGCCAATAATTTGAAATTTAGAATTATATTTGTTATGTTCATAATTATAATGGCCTGCCTTGCAAATGTAAGATGTTTTAAATAAACAAAATTCTCCATATTTCGAGTATTTAAGTTTTTATATTTGATAAATTGTTTGTGACATCTTCGCCTCTGTGTATTTGAGAAACTTGACAACTGACATCTCAAGCGTCAAGTGTCAATGTCTTACTTGCGTTTGTGTGATGCGGTTTTTTCGCAGGTTTAAAGAGTTTATTTTTACTATAAGATTTAACAATGGCTGGTGTCTCAATATAACTTTGCTCTATGAAGTGTTTGTATTAATGTACTTTATAATCATGTACGTCGTACCTAAAAGAAAAATCAAATTAAACGACTACCCATTTGGTTATTTGCGCCTTTTATTTCCCCTTTTTATACTTCAACAAATTACTTGAAGTCATTAAAGTAATATAGGTAGTGAAGCCTAGCCAATGTACTTTACTTCTGTGCGAGATCAATTAAATCAGCACTTTAAGAAGTTATCACTGAAGTGTGTCAGGCACAGTAGTCTCGGTACAAAAAGGCATTTGATGCAATTACTCTACTTTCATATTTACGGAAAAATAATAATATTAAAACAAAGACAAACTATAAAAAATGCTGTATAAAGGCATAAAGTCTTAAATGGACCTCCTTGTTTCATTACAGTCCATGGCCGCCGTTCATATACATAAGTTCGATTGCAGGCGAAAAAATAATTAATGCGTCAGTTGGTGGAGGCAGAAATCTGTCTTCTAGGGCTTACAGTCAGGCAGTCACAACCAATCAGTTTTATGAGGTTCCTCTAAGTATTACAATATACGCTATACAAACGGAATCACTAAAAAAACTTGTTTCTTCTAAATAAATTTTGATCTAGTGTAAGCCTCATTATTATCCGACGTCAAAAGTATATATATTAATACAATAACACCTCTGTATATATTTGAAAATCTCTTTTATAGTAGTATAATACTACTACTAAACAGATTTTTGGAAAAGATCTATGGATAATATGTAACCGTGTATTATCTATGCCTGGCGTTCATGATCCTGTTTTGGCGGGAACGGTAATGACAATTTACCGATCGTTTTGGTGAAATATATTGAATAGAACGCTACATTATGATTTGAAATTTTTTTTTAAAGATTTTAGATTTTATTTTCGTGTTCACAACATTGTTCTGAGTAACAGTTGGAATGTGTGTATAAATATTTCCTTTAAAAGTAGAAAAGGGTTTCTTCCGGATTACAACCTATGGCATTAAATGAAGCAGTGATGCAGAGTAATACAAAGTTTAGTTAGGATACCTAATGCGGTCTTAATTCTGGATATCAGATTTCACCAAATTAGAACGGTTGTGAAACGAAGCGTGTTTTAGGAAACCAACAAAATAAGGTAATCCGTTATAATATCGATCAACCGCCTAGTAAGTAAGAAGGAAGTTCTATTCGGGGAACTAAATATAATAAAATCTGACAAGTCTTTGAGAATAGTTTACTTTCTAAGAACTGTTGAAAAAATATTCACATTAAAAACTTATTACATATTCTGTCTCAAATTAACATTTATAAACGATTCGTCGAATCGAGTAACATAAAAGTAAGTGAAAAATGATGTGAACATACAAAAATACAGTAGAAAGATTGTCAGCATTGTCTGTGTCCCTGTGCGTAAGAAGGTAGTTATGAATAGTATGACATTTGCCACTACTAAAATGATCAACGAGGCCGTAAGTTTTACAAAGTATTTAAAGTTTAAGTACGTCATCATTTGTATAAAAAGACAATAACCCCTAGTTACGCGCACTACTTAGGTGTTTTATACAAAAATGCAGAATACAGATGCTTGTTTAATACGCAAATCATTTAATTATATTTCACCAAAACGACTGGTCAATTGTCATTTCCGTTCCCGCCAAAACACGATCTTACGCCAATCATAGATCAAATATCCATAGAATATTATTTTGTGCTAATGTTATGTTACTATAAAAGAGATTCTCAAATATATTTAAAACTTTAAAGTTATTAGGCTTACACAGCTTCAGTAAATGTAAATAGTAACTAGATAAAAAAATTCTAATCTTGAAGCTATAGTACGTTTTCGGACTGCCAACTCGCGAACGGCACGCATAATATCTTTAAATCTGTAAAATATAGTGGACTCTCGTTAATTTAAATTTCTCGATAATTCAATTTTATTTCCGGTACCTTAAAAATACTCGATAAATTGAATAAAATCAATCTTAATTGGTCTCCTTGGTTTTTTGAAGTTGAAGAAATAGTATCTTGCTCGCCAACATGCGATAATTTGAAGTCCGGGCTTCCCTACTCTCTATAATTAGAAGTGTTTTATCGTGCATAGACCTGCTAATTGTATACATAAATGAGATATGGGTATGTTCGCATTTCAGTCTTCTTTCAAATGTTATGTCAATGTTTTATGACATCATGATAATGATAGACGACGACGAGAAGTCGATCACTCAAAAAAAGATTACGGAAATAAA